ATTTAGCAAGTTTGTTTTCTTGGGGCACGGAGTTGTGAAGGCTTTGCCCAGGAAGCAACACTAGCTGTGAATGAAGCAATCACAGGTTGTTTGAATTGCAAAGAGCGGATCACAGCTCATCCAGTTTCACCCTGGACTTTCCACTATGATGTTGGCCTGGAAACAAGAAAAAACACTTTCTATTGATTTCTGTGAGGAAATTGGTTCTAGCAGCTCCACCAACATAAAGGACGTGACTGGTCCCCATACCTGCCGTGAGATCCATGCAGGTGAAACCTTGCAACCGGAGCTTATAGCACTGTATACAGTTCTGTATGGTTTTGGATCCAACTGCATGTTTTCACTGAAAAATACTGCTGGGAGAGGGGCTTGGCTTCTCATCATACAAGGTGGTTGGTAAACATAAACAAACAAAGAGGAAAAATAAAAATTTTCTTCAAAATGGTATCCTCATTCCCCTGCTTCTGCTCAGCCAAAACCCTTCCTTTTTCATTTCACTGTTTATTTTTTTCAGTCTTGTGGTAACTTTTTTTTTTCTAATGAAATCTCTCAGATATCACCCACAATTTATAAAGAATTCACATATCCACATTGTTACGTGATGAGTTCTTGCCATTTATCATCTGTCAGTGGCCCTTCGGGACTAGGAAAATCCAAGCTTGCTGATCTGCAGCTTATAGTCTTGCTGTAATCTCTTCCAAGCATTTTTCAGACTTACTGGAGTCACCAGTGTGTAGTTTTCTCTGAAATTTCATTCTTTGCTGCTTTTTTCCAGAAAAAAATGCCTGCAGAACTATCTTACTTTGCACCATTTGCCTCCGTAGTTGATTTCTTCAGAGCTTATTTGGACTCTTTGACATGCAAATGGACTGCACAGCAGAGCTGAGTCCCAGGTTCACCTACTTGCACACCAAGTTAGCTTCAAAACTCCTGTTCCTTAGTCCAGCTGTATGGACTGTGTGTTGTTCAGACTGTCCTTGGAAGGGCTTTAACGAGGGCTTTGCTACCTGCTGCACGGCTTAAAGGTTGTGTTAGGTCTTGGGAACCCTTTCTTGGAACCAGGTGCAGGACAAGCTCCATCTTGTCCTGCAAAACAACTCGAAAGTACTAGTGAAGACCTGGGTGGTAATAGGAATTCAGCTCACAAGGCAGTGCTGGTTTTGCTGGCTATGGGTTCACATGTGATGCCTTGTAGCTTTAGTCCCTTGTGGCAGTGACACAGCAGCCACATGTCATGCCTGAGGTGCTTGTTAGTGCAGCTCCTCGTGTCCACCTTCCAAGCTACGCCGTGACCCCTGCCATTGCACGTCTCCGTAGCCAGCAGCCCTTGCAGAGGATGTAAGTGCTGAAAAGAGGTTAGAAATGCAATGCAACCTGGACAGCTTCTTGCTTGGAGGCTCATGTGCTGGCAAGGTGTGGAAGAAGGGATAACTTCGGAGCCTCCTGGACTTGGAGAGGTTTGTGCCAGAACCTGCCTTCCACAGCTTGCTGGACAAGCCACACGTTCCCAAGGCAGGTGGGAAGTGTCCCTGTCTCTCCTGTTTTTTTCCAGGCTCCCATCCCTACATGGTTTCGGGACGGAGGTGCCTCTTTGCTGGGGCTCTCGTCCGGCAGCTCCCGTGTTTGCAGGGTGCGAGGTGGGTGCGCTGCTAACACCCGTCCTGCCGGAGAGCCAGTCAATGCTGTGGCTTTTTGTAGGTCCATTAAGGGTCTCTCTTGGTCAATATGATGGTTGTGCTGGTCGCCAGTGGTAGAGAGATGGCTTTTTTTGTGTGGTGCCCCCTGCTTTATTTTTTAAATGATTTTGATATCCAGATATCGTAGCCCTCTGAAGTTCCAGTGCTGGTGACCCCCCTGCCATTTGACTTGTGTTTAGTGATGGAAAATGAGCCGAGCTGGCCTAGCAGGAGCCCCCGGCCTGGCAGATGTGGCTGCAGGGCCAGCGGGAGCCCCTCGGTTCTTGTGACAAGCAGCAGCTTTTTGTAGTTGTAGCCTTGCCTGCAGGCTGGGGCGCCCTTTGCTTGGTGCTGTGGCACGTGCGTGGGGACGGGGCTGCTCACCAGCCCTTTGTGGCCGGGCCAAGAGGACCGAGGTGCCGAGCGAGCGATAGCAGGGAGTCCTGAGCGAGGGCTGAGCCTGCGCAGCGGCGCGGAGGCCTCGCACAAAGGAGATCACAGAGGGCTGCAGGAAACAGAGCAGCAGCCCCGGCCCCCGGGGACGGCAGCGACAGAAGGAACAGCACGTACGAGCTCGGAGGGCTCCTGCCAGACCACAGCGAGGGGCTGCGGCCGCCCCAGGGTGCCGGTCCCGTCTCCCGCTGCATCGCCCTTCATAACGTGGGAGCTCTTTAAACGATTCCCTCCAAACCGAGGGCAGGTTAGTTCTCAGGCTTGGAGCAGGCAGATGGGGCTGGTGCAGCTTCCTGCGAGAGTGTGGAGAGGCAAGTCCCTAGAGTAACATAGAGTCCAGGAAAATAATAATAATGATGATTCATTTGCCGCAGTGTCGGACATCTCCGCATCAAACGGTGCTCCAGTGTCCGGCCAACGCGTTATTGTTCCACCCCGGCCCTTGAATGGACTCCACAGGCTGCAACCTCGGGGCTATATTTACCTCTGTGTGTGACTTCCTCGCTCCTCGCCGTGTCCCACGTACCAGCATGCCCATGGCTGGAGAGAACTCGTGTGGCTCCTGAGGGCTTGGTATTTCATAATGCCTGGTGAGATGATTGCTTTACAAGGCCAACACTTATAGCTAGTAACAGCAGCTTGTAGTGACCTATATTTGAAGGAGAGCTCAGAGAATCCAGTCGGAGGACTAGACTAATTGCCAGCAGGTTTTAACTACATCTGGTAAAACGGAGCTGAGCACACTTGTCCTTGGCTACCCTTGCAGCCAAGTCATGCTCAGAGTGAGTTCAGCTGCACCACTTAATGCCAAAATAAACCACTGGATCTTGGCAAAGCTTTGGAGAGCCATGAATCTCAGCATAGTGCAAACTCCGTAGTGTTTGCAGGGCCTTAGCACCTGTCCCACATGGACAGACCTTGGCCAGAACAACCTGTTCATGTCTGAAATAAACTGTTTCTCTGTCCATGTCTGACTTGATAAACCCAGATTTCCATTGTCTCAGCCTTGTAAAAAGTATTGCCATGATCACAAAAGCAGGTCTTTTCCTAATAAATTGTATCCTCTCCACTGAAAAATAATAATAATAATAATTATCATTTCAGAGAAGTGCTAGGAGGCAGCCAAGGGCTTCTGTTGGCACATGTGTTAGAACTAGGAGAACAACATGTGTAAAAGCCCTAATGTAAATCCATTGCCTTGGGGTAGAAAGTGCTTTTCCATGGCAGTTTACCGTCATTAACTCAATAATAACAGGCTCTACACCGGGGGAGCTACGCTCATCCCAAAATAGTAAATAAACCAAAGCAGTGCAGCAAGCTCAGGAGGAGGAGGAGGAGGAGGAGGGTCTGGCACTGTGTGTATCAGGCCCTGCGAGTTCTCCACACTGCTGCTGCCTCTCTGTAGGGTCCCAGGGCATAGTGCGAATCCGTCCGTCCTTTACTCCCGCCAAGGGCTCGGAGGATGTGAGTGCGGAGGTGTCAGCTGGACCACGAGGGACCCCCACAAGGGACAGCAGAAAGAGCCACGTGCTGGTCCAGTTGCTCAAAGCGACCAAGGGGATGTTGCTGTGTGTTCAGTGCCTGGTCTGCTGGTCTGCACGAGCAGCGTGATCGGTATCACACTAAACACACCACAGGCACTGCTTGCTTGTAGCATCCTGGTTCTGCTGAAGTGTTTGGACCCTGAGACATTCAACCTTGGGAGTAAAAAAAACCCAGCTTCATTCAATACAGATGAGGAGTTCCCCCAAGTATCAGTTTGATCCAAAGCCTATGTGAGTCAATGGGAGTGTTCCCATACATGCCAAGTCCATAGACCTCACATAAGTGCTATTTTTTCCATGTGCTTTAGTTCTGCTTTAATTTTGGATCCCTGGAAACCTTCCTCTTCCACAGAATTTTGTTGTAAAATTAAGGGGGAAAAAAAAGTGGCAGTTTTTGTAGTAAGCTTTTTCGCTTTGTTCATTTCTTTTTCTTTTCTGTCCTTATCTGACCACACTTTGATGGTGAATGCTATATAAAGCATGTGCATGGAAGATGTGTTGAGAAGGTGAATAACTATTTTACAGGATTTATCTTCATATTTGCTTCTGGTTTGAAGATCTGTCAGTGCAGAAAACTCCATGCCTTGGAGGCTGCATCAGGCGTTTTCTTCTTCCTGTGTTCTGTAGGTCCGAGCTTGACTCCGGAGTGCCCTGAGTAACACTCAGCCTTGAGTAACACGGCGCGCGGGAAACGTCACCCCGTGTGACAACCGTGCATGAGCTAAGTGTCGGCAGGAATTTGTGAAACAATTCCGTTTTTGTAAAGTCGGAGTGCTGCTGGGGGGGGTTTCCTCGGTGGGGCAATACGGGGAGCAGTGTCCGTGCTCCAGGGTATTGCGGGAGTTTTTCTACTCGTGCTGCAC